TTTGAACTCACACAGAAAACCAACGTAGAATAGCAGCTTAATTCGTTTCGTATGGTGAGTGTAGAGAACCGGAGACCCTTTTTACTGGCAAAGAGGCATTCCATCTTAGTCCTCACGGGTGACAACGCATCTGCATCTTGAGTCTATATTGAGGATAGATGTAGATGTCTATGGGTCATAGTAGCCACTTACCATCAGGTGGACTGTGTGCTCGTTTGTCAACCAATCCTATATAAAAAAAAAACATAACTTATTTTATAGTTAAGTAAGTTATGATCAATTCGTCTATATTTTAAAATTGGTGTTTGATTTAAACGTTTAACAAATGATACGTATTTGCTTTTCAGACATTTGGTATATGTTAAGAACACTATACAACATTTAATTATTTTTTGAGAAAGACAAAAACAAACAATAAATGTAATTAACTACAACTTAGTAATACTAATTTTATTATAACTTAAGAACATAAATGAAAAAGTCATAAAAAGGAAAGTGGTTCAGGACCATGCTCTGCGGCAGTCTATGGAGGATGATGTTCTGTAGTCGACTTGTGAAGGGCTAAAATGATGATAAAGATTCAAAAACTTGGATGATTAAATTATAAGAAATCGGTGTACTATAATACATAATTTTTAATATAATATTGTTTTAATTAATTGTTTAGTGTTAAAAGAAAAATTTAACTGCTTAAAGCTAAACCACAGTAAGGTAAGAAGTAAAACATTAAAATAAAATAATTGTTGTCGTAATACATATTCCATACTTGTGACATGCATGATTTAAAATTAAAAGTTGTTATGAATTTATTTCAGTGCCCCTAAAATTTACCTACAATAGGTACCTACCAAAAACTCAAAAGGCATAGCCCTTGCTATGCTGGCATTACATATACAAAAGGAAATTGAAATTGACACTAAAAGGCTGGTAATAGGGGCATCCACCCTGTACGAATAAACGTAAAAGTTAAGCTTATTTTTCGTCCATAAATGCGTTTCAAATAAAGCCGCGTATCGATTATGCACTCCAAGAGGTGTAACATTTGCGCGCGTTAAATTAAAATGGGTAAAACGATATTAAATATTACAATTTTTCCTATTCGTTTTTTTTCTTTTTCTTTTCAAGATATAAAATTATAATTAAATGGTGAATCGAAAATGAACTTAGTTTATAGGTACGTCCTTTCACTCCGAAAATTTGGGTTTGACTGACGATCAGTCAGCATGAGCGTGTAATGTCCAAATAATTCCATCATTCAAACCTCAGTCATGATTGATCGAACTGATTGACGCTTGCCTAGGCGTGTAATGGACGTCTAAGATTAAATAATGTGTTACACGGTAAATGTAGTTTAGTGCTAATCACAGAACTTGTTTTGTAGGGTGGGAACACCTTATAACAACAGGTGTCAAGTGTCAATTTAATGTCAGTCATTTTAGTCCTACAAAAGTAAGGGTATTTGCAGTGTCCCTTTTGTTCATTGAAAATATTGGATATTAAACACAGAATTTTCAAGTTATGTCTTTATATTTCATTATATGAAGCATAGATACTAAATATATATTTGTTGAAGTCGTATATTATGAATTTCTTTCTAAAATTTATTTGAAATTGCGGCTACTTTAATCATATAAACAAAAGAATCTTATGTTATGCTGTGTTACATAACACACTGGATAGCATTAAACTTAGTTCACATATCCTTTAACCGACTTCGGTAGAGCTCAAAAGCGGGTATAAAATTTTTGCTTGAATGTGAATAAACGTGTATATTATGTAATTATAATCGTGTCTTCATTTCTGTTGCCATAGAAGCACCCCAGATAAATCTTAACATACTCTAAAATGACTCTACAAAGATCTTTAAAGAGAAACAAACAATTACTTGATTTAATACGACATAAAAAATATTTTATAGAAAAGCTACGGCTGAAACCTATTTCTAATAATGAGCAAGAAAAACTTACTCCATGCACTAGAACTAACACGCTTATAGAAGAAAATTTTCCAAGAACCCTTGAAAACTCTAATAAAATATAGAAAAATAAGCGCTCAAGAATATAGTTTCTAGTGATGTCACCAAAAAAAAAATTAAAAAGTTCATACCTTAGTCTTAATGGAGAAATACGACATATTCCCTATTTTGATAACTTTAAAATTTCTAACATTATTATGGAAACAAACGTTACAACGTTTACAATTTGAGTGATGTTTATTTCCATTTACGTATGAGTCAAAACAATTAAGAATGAATGCCAATATTTATAATAATATTATTTATACTCTTATGGTGCCTTTCCATGCTTGCCAAGCCTTGGCAAAACGAGACTTGTGGACGCTTGGGGCTTACCAAGCCTCGGCAAACGTCTTCAAGCCCCAAGCGTCCACAAATCTCGTTTGGCGTTCAAACGTCCAAAAAAAGAGAACGTTTGTCTTGGCTTGCGTGAGCTTGTGGACGCTTGTCCCTGATCCGGGCTAGTGTCGGTTTTTGGACACAGATCAAAGGGCGCTTGCGGCAAGCGCTTGCAACGCATTCACACGTTGGTGCGCGTTTGAACGCCAAACGAAATGTGTATGTGTTTAACATACTTTTATTTGAAATACAAGCAAAGTAATACAAAAACAAGGAATTTTCGGCTTTTAATTCTTTTACTGGCTTTCCCGTTAACTCGGCAAGACGATTCCAAGCATTTGCAACTTTCTTTTTATTTTTATGATTAACGTCTTTGGGGTTCCAGATAGACGATTCGGTCTGGTAATATTCCAGAAACGATAAACTCTCTTCGTTCGACCAGTCACTCATTTTAAACAAAGATCTAAACATGCGCTTAGTTCCATATAAATGATTCATTGAGATAAGAATCAATGAACCTAAATATTTCCTCATTAGGCCATGTCGCCATGTTCGTGAAATAATTTTATTAATCTAAATTAGTAAATTGGTTCGATGTTAATAATTTGCATTTAAATGGCACTAAAACAAAATGTATGAAATTCGTGACTCCAAATGTCAAACAATTAAATACTAATGTAATTTTAAATGGGGAGAAACTGAGTCTTGTAGATACCACCATTTTTCTTGGAATCACACTAGACGCGAAGCTTCAATGGAGCCCCCATATATCAAAACTAGCAAGCAGACTTAGTTCTGCAGCATATGCTGTAAAAAAGATTAGATGTCTAACCAGTGTTGAAACAGCTAGACTAGTTTACTTCAGCTACTTCCATAGCATAATGTCGTATGGTATTTTGCTATGGGGACACGCAGCTGACATTGAAATTATATTTGTTTTGCAGAAGAGGGCCATAAGAGCAATTTATGATTTAAAGCCTAAAGAGTCGCTGCGACAAAAATTTAAGGAAATTAATATATTAACTTTGGCCTCTCAATACATTTATGAAAATGTAATGTACGTACACAAAAATAAAAGTAGTTTTACAAAAATAAGTGATATTCATTCTGTAAATACTAGGAACAGACACAAGCTAGTAGTACCAGTTACTCGACTCCATCGAGTCAGTAATTCATTCTTGGGGCGAAGTATACGCTTTTACAACAAAATTCCAGAAAATATACAAAGTTTGACCTGTTCAAAGTTCAAAAACTTTATTAAACTAAGTTTGTATAAAAAGGGTTATTATAATATTAAGGAATTTATGGATGATAATAACCCCTGGAAATGAGGTGATCGCTACCAAGCTATTTCTAATTTGTTGTGTTGTTAATTTGTGTAACATCATGAATGTAAGCTGTTATTTAAAAAAAAGTCCCGCTGGGTTTCTTGCTGGTTCTTTCCAGGACAGAGGTTTTTTCTGAACCAGTGGTAATCAAACAAAAGAGTGACTTTCAATAAGTATTATTTATAATCTATATTGAATAAAAAAGTTTCTGTTTCTGTTTCTGTTTCTGTTATTAAGCCGTAAAGCGTAACCAGGCTGGTGCAACTTCCATAGTAAAAATTATATGTACTACAGGGGTCAAATTTTAATGACGGTTACTCTTCTTTATGCTTTTCGTGATATGTCTATTAACGACATTGTCAAATGAAATAGGTTCAAATGTCAAATGAAACAATTATATTTGTATATATTTTATTAATTAAGATTGCTTTTAATTTTGCTATATGAGCCGTTGTTCATTTACAGATTTGTTAAGAAATTAAATATGCATTATAAAACTTTCCAATTAAATGGTCCAAGAAGCGGAAAAAATGATAACAAGAAAAGGCTATTCGTAACAATATTTCCCTTAGATGATGAAAGGTATGTGGTGATTTCAACTTTAATAGTAATATGATATTCAACGCGAGTATATTTTTGGACTAGCCATCTATGTAGGACATGTTTCTATAGTGTACGATTGTGTGCACAAATACAAACACACTATTTCCTAAATCTGATAGTTCGATGGTTTGGCAATCCGAAACGAACTATACTTAGAAACTACAAGTCAATTGTGACTGCTAACATTCTATTTGTTCAATAATAATGTGATTTTATTTATATTATTTTTCAGGTGCAAGCAATGGGTGAAATAGCTGGCACATGCACCAATTGAAAAGATTCAAATGTTAAGACATATTTGTGACAAACATTGCATATGAACCCAACTAAAACGAACTGTTATTTCTTTAGTGGACTTACTTTAAACTTCCACAATTTATGTGTATGTTAATTAGGTTTTATTTACATGTAGCAAAAGATAATATCCCTCTAAAGTCACATTTTGGCAAGAATTATATTATATAACTAAATCATTATTTTATTCATCAATAAACATTAGCTATAATGAGCACTTATTTTGAAAGCGACAATTAGTAAACGATCTCTGCGAATAGTATGTACATAGGTGCCTCTGCGAAGAAGCCTAGCGATTTGTACATAGTATTTGTTACACATAATTGCAATTTAATCCAATCAGTATTAAAAACCCAATATTTTTACCCTTAAAAAAACGAACGTTGAAAACAAGCATCCAGACGCAGACTATTTATTTTACAGCATAGCAACAATTGTTCAGTGCGGGGAGGAAGCCTCGGTCCTGCAATGCCGTAGCCAAACGCTTAGCCACTGCGCTATGGAGTCGTCATTTATTTTTTACTTAATTAATTACTAGTATAAAAGTGCGTTTTTATTTTATATTTTCTTTATACATACTTTTGTACCTAATTGTAGAGATATAAATACAAATTGCTGTGTGTAAAATACATTGATTTCTTATCCTCATCGGCATTTTTACTCAATCCACACGTTAAATTTTTATTTCTCTTAAAAAATTCAGTATAGAGATCTAACTTTTCTTATGTAAAAATATCGGTAAACAATATATCGATAAAGGTTATATCGATAAAATTATTCGAGGATAGACATTTACAGCACTATTGTAATTCGTCAATGTTGTCAGCACTGTTTCTCAAAACTAAATGTCATATCTTGATGTTGGTAGAGTAACTTGGCGTAATTTCATGCAATTATTTTTACTATGGAAGTCCCGCCTCTTAAACGTAGTGATTATATTTTCTTTGAGCGTAACTACGAACTTAACACTCGGCCAACGTGTGATCGCTATTTGCGGCTTGCGCCAAATTCCTTTGATTTGTGCACGGAAAACCGACACTATACGGCTTGTCGGCGAGTGTTGGCCGCAAACGCCGAATACACACAAAACGGCCCAGTACACGTTGGCCGAACGCACTCGGCGAGCGCGTTCGGCCAACTGCTTCCTTAACGTATTACGAGGGCGGCACTGAAATTTTCGGGAATCAAGGAAGTGACACAACATTACTATTTAAAAATGTATTTATTGCTTTTCGAAGTATTCTCCGCGAAATTTGACACATTTTTCTATACGATGGAACCAATCATTGAAGCAACCATTCCATTCGGAAGTTGGGGTCTCCAAAATCGCCGTTTTGTAGGCGTCCACAGCTTCTTCAGGTGACGAAAATCTCTGTCCACGCAATTTATTCTTTATTTTAGGGAAAGTATAGAAATCATTAGGGCTTAGGTCGGGGCTGTACGGCGGATGGTCTAATAATTCTATGTATTCTTGCTCTAAAAACTCTTTTGTTCTGTGTGCGGTGTGAGAACTTGCATTGTCGTGATGGAGGATGATGCGGCGGTTGCAGTTCTCTTTACGGAGTTCAGAAACGACCTGTGGCAAACAATACCATTCTGCATTAACTGTTCTTTGTCCCTCAAGAGGAATAGTCGTAACATGGCCGGTTTTGGAGACAAACGTGGCCACCATTTTTTTGCAACACTCCGTGAACGAACAATTTTTGTTGGCTTTAACTCATTTTCGAACACCCAAACTCGTGACTGGTTTTTTGTTTCGGGTTCGTACGCGTATATCCAGGATTCGTCACCTGATACGATCTTGTATACAGCATTTGAGGATCCTGCGTGGAATGTTTCGAGAGTTCTGACGCACCAAGTAACGCTAGCCGCTTTTTGCTCTTCACAGAGCGAATGCGGTATCCATCGGGAAAACAACTTTTTTACACCTAATTGTTCATGCAAGATTATTTGTATTTGACTCATGCCGCATGAGTCATGCGAATGTCTAAAGTTGCCTGAATTTCGCGGTATGTCACATGTCGATCTTCCTCAATCAGCTTACGCACAGCATCAACGTTTTCTTGGGTGACTGCAGTTTTTGGACGACCTTGACGGGGATCATCACTGAACTTGACACGTCCACGTTGAAATTCAGCAAACCAGCGATAAATTGTGGTTTTGGATGGGGCTTCATCACCAAATGCTGGAATCATCCGGTCAACACACTGTTTTTGTGTTAAACCACTTGGAAAGTCATAATAAATCATCGCTCTTGAATTTTCTCGAGTCAATTCCATTTTCTCAACGACTAAACAAGTTTGACAAAACCTTGTGACCAGACCGAGAATCTTTTTTAAAATAAATAAATGGTATTCGATTTTTAAACCAAGGAGTTTTCAATTAAAAAGATTTTAATATGACAGGAACAGTGGAAATATTCCATTCCCGATACTTTTAGTGTAGCCTATGTATCTTTGACACAAATAGGAACCCTGATACTGTTCACCCACGTGTGGTGTACGTGTGCATACGTAAAAAAATGTGTCGGATAGGAAAATGAGATTGAAACTGTGTTTAGTGTTTAGAACCAAGCATGTAGAAATTCTAGTTAGTAATTACTAATTAGGTACCTAATTAGTATGTGCAAACATGCCCACGAAGTTGCAAGCTTGCGACAGGCTTGACGCGAACACGTTTAACTGTAATGTCCGCTTCACACTATTGCGCGAACGCGTAATGTGAAACCGATTCGCATCTTTGCGCTTTTTACGCGCATTATTCCCCGATTACTGTCGGTTTTCTGGCGCGCCTCAAAGGAACAAAGAAGCGTTAAGTGCAAACTTCAGCTTAAAATCAGTAAAGTTCAGTTTAGTAAGTATCAGAAATTTTTTATTACAGTACTTAGTTTATGGATTGATAAACAAAACCTAGAATAATCAACTTTATAATAAAATACTTATATTCATAGTTAGTACTACATTATATTCAGAAAGAATGTATACATATATTATAACTTAATTTAGATATATACTCATTACTCAATTTGTTATATATATAAAATAAGAATTATACTTTCAAATAAGGTAGGTATCCATTGCTAATAAAAGTTTTTATTAAATTATTATAAACGTTATTAGGTAGGTAATTATTAGCAATAAATACTTACCAGTTCTCATTTCTGAGAGGGTTTAGTGCGAAAAAAATGTTCGCTGCCGCAATGCATGTTGGCGAACTCCACATGTCTATAAAATATTTTTTTTATTTCTCAGACAAGCAGGTTTCCTTACAATGTTTTCCTTCACCGCCGAGCACATGGTAAATCAGCACTTAAAATTGCAATCACCATTTTTATTGGTGCCGGCGGGGATCGAACCCGGTTTGTTTGCGTACTGTGAAATTAACAGCAAGTGCTTAGCTCCTGAGCTACCACGGATCTTGGCTGCAGTAGCCACTTACCATCTGGTGGACTGGAAGTTATTTTGTCACTACATGCAATATGCATAAACTATATAAGAGTAAGAAAGACTCTATTTAAAGTACATAATCTAATATCATAATGACTCACAATTACCTACTTCGACGTCCATCTCCTTCAAACGTGCAAACCAATGTGGTTATACTTTATGCGAAATCATGCGAGTGTGGACTCTGGCGTCATTATTTGTTTGGCAGTGCTTTCTCTCTGCGAGTGCGACGTCACACTGTTCGCGGACTTAGTGTAGAGAGGTCATAAAACTAATTTCCCTATCAAACGAAGAATGTCACGTAATGCGTTACAACGTAGTATTATCATAACATTAGTCGAGAAACCTTGGTGGTAGCTCAGCAGGGATTCTCCACTTACGGAATATATTGAGTAGACACTTAATTTCGAAAACACAAAATGTTTTAGATTAGGTACACCATTATCTAATTAGGTCTCATCGATAGTCGCATCCCACTGAGAATTACCTCTAGGTACTTATTTAAAGAGGGTGTAAAATGTTGAGATAGACAGTGCAAAGTAATCATCGCTGCGTGCAATAGTTTTTTGGTCTTTAATATGATTTCAATTATAATAGCTCAGATATTAATTACTTCAAGTTTAGCTGCGCCATTATTAGAAGAATCGTTTGTTAAAATGAAAGAGGAATCTGGTAACGTTTATTGCATTATAATTTTTTTAATTATCATAATTTTATTTACAGAGATTCAACAGATACTGTTCTATGAACACTATTAATTTTTTCTTTGTTTTTCGAAAGGTTAATAGAAGAATTACTTATATCCAAGTCTGTAAATAAGTAACCCCAACAAAGTGATGAAATTATGTGATACAATCTATTTTTTTTTTCTAAAATTAAAATGGTCATAGGTACTCTTCTGCTGCTATTTTTAATAGTTTAGAAGTTTTGTGAGTACAAAAAATTTCATTGTATATTATTAATTTGGAGTTTGTCGTGTTTAAATTATATTACCGACACTACATTGCGGATTCTTTGCAGCGCAAACGGCAATATAAAGGCCTGAGATGCTTTTAATATTGATGTGGTAATCCAGGCGACATGTCCTTTTAATTATTATATTGAGAAGGTAGCCCAACCCAAGTGAAATGTGTTAGTTCTTTCTCTTGTTTTCGTATAATGTAAATAATGTATGAAAATAACTTGTTTATATTAATAAACTGAAAATTTTAAAATACAATACTGTAATTTTAAGCTAATTTATAAATGTTCTCTTTAGGATCAAGTTTAGATTTTGAACTAGGAGAATACTTTGAGGGAGATATGCTACTGATGTCGCGACAGAAAAAAGCAGTTTTAGCGGCAGAGAAAAATCGGAACGGACTTATAGACGGTGTCAAGCGATGGCCAGAGCGTACTGTTGTTTACCAGATTGAAGAAGATGATTTTGGTTTGTGTTTTTTGTAAAAAAAAATCCACAGAAAAGTGTCGCAGTACTAGGCTCTCCGTTTTGCACTCACCAAACCGGCTGGTCTGAGTGGTGAATGTGCGCAAGAAATGCATACCTGACGTCGCATTCTTGAAAGGGTATAAGTCCAGCAGCAGAATTTATATATTCTTCATTTTAAGTTTTGAATTTCCTCCTCTTCAATCAGTCGCTTTTTTATTGTTCGACGTTAGTTATTAAATCCGAATACATGTAATAACTGCTTAATAAATTGAAATGTAGGACGGAGAAAGAATTTTGAAAGCGGAAAGATTTGTTTTTAAGTACATAAATAAATAAATAATATTTGTTACTTCATCATCATCATTACCCTTCACAAATCCACTGGTAAACGTAGGCCTCCCGCAAGGAATGCCACAAAGTACGCCACCATTTGTTATTTAAAATATACAGTTATTGAAAATATTTTATGTAATTATTTTTAAATAGTTAATGATTATTTTTAAATAGTAGTAAATCATGAACAGTAACAATTAGAGAGGAGATTGAGCCAGATTATCGATGGTGTACCATGAAGTGGTGCTGCCGAGGCTGTCAGAGTCAAAAATGGTGTTTGTTCAGTATGAACTAATTTCAAAAGTTTTGAGGTTTTACTGCCATCATTTTGAAAATTAAGTCGAAAGCTGACTTTCTTTCCCAAAATGTCGCCCAAATTGCAGATTTAAGGCTGCCGCCTGAGTCCACGGCATCCCTGCCTCCCCCTCCTTGTAATGGCTTTACGTGGTAGAGCCACGCTGCAGCTATATTACTGTTATAGTTCTAGCACGAATGGGTCGGCTCGGCCGGGGAAGGACCACGCTCTCACAGAATACCAGCGTAAAATAGCAGCTTAACACTGCTGTGTTTCGTATGGTGAGTGTAAGAGAGCTACATTCCATCTTAGTCCTCACGGGTGTCAACGCATCTGCATTTTGATTCTTTATTGAAGATGGATGTGGATGTCTATGGGTCACAGCAACCACTTACCATCAGGTGCACTGTGTGCTCGGTTGTCACCCTATCCTATAAAAAAAATCAGAAATGAATATCCATTCATTATTTTTTATTTTATGCAGATGAAGAACAGGTGAAAATTATAGAAGCTGCTATGGAGGATATTGCTAATAAGTCCTGTATTAAATTTAGACCTAAAGAAAAAGACGAGCACGCAGTGTTGATTAAGGTATTTATGAAAATTTGTGAATTCTAAATTGCAGATGCTAAAGTGCTATCAGTTAGTCCAGTCCTTTTCGCAATTTCATGCTGCAGCACAGGGGTCAATTACATTTGATTTAGTTCTATTTATCTTTTTGCATTTAATTACTTTTTACTTCTTGTGCTGCATGCTTAAACTCGAATAAACGCATTTCTTTCTTTCTATAATTTACGAGCTGGTGAGTTAAAAGGTGTGTATAATCACAATGATACTCGTAATTACAACTTGTTTCTTAAGTATAATATAATCAATCAATTCTTTTTACCATAGAAACTACGATAATTTTACATATTTTTTTTTTCAATAATTGATGTTTTGCTTCCGTGGGTGTCTTTTATTTTAGTTTTATGTTTCCCGTGTAACGACGAAAAGTACATCATGCGTTAAAAATTGGATCCGTTTGGTCTATTTCCACAATAACGTTAGTTTACACGTGGATGGCACAAACGTTTAATAAGTACATTGTTCTCTGAGTTCTGAATCTCTGTTTTATATTTCCTAATAGGGGTCGGCAGATGGTTGCTTCTCTAACGTAGGATATAGCAGTGCTAGCGAAGAAAACGACGAAGTGAAACAAGTGTTGAATCTTTCCAAGGGTTGCTTTCGTCACGGTACTGTGGTACATGAGATGCTTCACACCCTTGGTTTCTATCATATGCAAAGCACTTACAATAGAGACGAATTTGTAAAGATTATTTGGGAAAATATTAAAGCAGGTAAACATTATGGATAAATTTTTATAATCATAATTTTATAATTAACGACATTCTATTTCTCAAAATATCATTTGGAATATTATACATAATATGTATAATATACCAAATGAGTAACTTTATTCGTTTATTTGTTTACTGTATAATTGGAGTGGATTTTTAATATTTAATAAAAAGCATTTATTGAATATATGTTTACGGAAACCTACCCAAAGAAAACATAGGGAAATATGAAATATTTGTTAAAAAGGAAGTGACTAAACTATTCCAGTCCAAAATTATTCCAGGCAAGGAGTACAACTTTGCAAAGTACACCAATGACACCGTGACTGATTTCGGTGTGGCTTACGACTATAATAGCGTAATGCACTACCCTGAAAAGGCTTTTTCAAAAAATGGAAATAAAACAATAATCCCGTTACAGGTAATTTTGACACAGAATTTTTTTCTATTCTGTAACATGTAAATTGTAGCTGATTATGATTTTTTTTTGCAGGATGATGTAAAGATTGGGCAAAGAGTAGGAATGTCCGAAAGTGACATAATTAAATTGAACAAAATGTACTGCGAGTCGGAAAGATAAAACAATGTCAACCTGAAGACTTATGATCTGTTACTTAATTATTTATTCGTAAAGTTTAAAAGAAACTTATGTTAATCATTTGTTTGTAAATATTATTTCTCATTTAAACCCTGTGTCATTTCATTCCAAAGTAAAAAGATCAATAGAACGAAGGTTTTGCGTTTAAATTCTTTCCTTTGTCACACAATCAATTTGACTTTCGATGAGGCAAATCAACGAGTTATGCTATGCATGCAATTACTGATTATTTTATCGATAGACTTTATCTGGTCCGCATATATTCAAATGTATGAGTGGCAGTGTGAACCCTGTAGTGGCGGTGTAAGAATATTCACTATCCCTTTACGTGAATGTCGTAAGAGGCGACAGAGGGACTCTTCTATCTCTGATCTCATATATCTCTTCTATCCAATCAGATGATAATGTCTCAAAATAATGAGAAACTGTGCTTGCTAACCCTCCTGGCAAGCTTGCCAACTGTAGCAAATATTTCCCCTACGATGTAGTGATGATGATAATCAATGTATTTAACCTATAAAACAGCTTCACAATCATCATTATCACTGATGAAATTTGTAGCAGTCTTGAGACTTGAGCCATTTGAATTCATCGGATCTCTGCACCGTCTTATCAGGTTGTCATTCTATCTTGAGCAATATTTAACAATATTTTCTATAATTCTAATAACTAAAAACTTTCTAGAACATAAACTTTGAATAATACAGGTTTTCATTTTACTCATATACAATTTTGCTCATATCTTCTAAACGGGTTATCCGATTTTCATAATTCTAATTGGAATATTAGTTCCTATCTTTTGAGATTAAAATTGTTATTAAATATCTCTATAAACATAAATTCTCATTTTTAGCTTACGTAAATACAAAAATTCTAAAAACATTCAAAAACTTTACTCAGTATAGATTAAAATAGAAAATCCAATAGCAAATTTAAGTTAAATTGTATAATTAGACTAAAATAAATATAATATCCATTAAATCTCTTTATATCCTAATTAATAACTTATAAAACTTTTTTACTCGATAATACATCAAAACGTTGACATTATAAAGGCGCAAGTAATGATTCTACTACAACTTCCTGTATAGGACAGTTACTATACTCTTTGACTACAACTTTGGTAACATCTGGCGGCCAACTCTACCATCGCGCACGCTCATTGGTCAAATTAAATAGCGCGCGCTACCCCAGCTTCCTATTAAACACTTCCGTCCCTTTTCACGAAATCACTCCCACAGATTGCAGGAAAGCGAGAGGAATGATGTTAAACATCAATTTTAAAATGTATCCAATTATCATTACAATTATACATCGAACTTACGCGATAGATGGAACCGGACGATACTTAAGTAGAATTCTGAAGGTACAATTTTGAATATTAATACATAAAATTTTGTTTGCTTAGGACCTGGGGGCTAAAGAAAACAATAATTTGAGATTAGAATTAGATAACACTCACAAATTATATAAACATTATATATGACTGGCAACCCGCTCCGGTTTTGCTTGGATAGGATCTATTATTATATTATAAAAAAAAATAATGTCTTAACAACATGCAAATAAATCCCTAAGTTTAATAAAAGCCAGTTGTTTCAATATTACAAACACACACTTCAATTGTATTTCTATTCTATAGAAATACAATTATATATCTTCAATATGTCTATATACAATATTTTACAAAATAAAAATACCCCGTTAAAATATAATTAGTGGTAGAGCCACGCGGCAGCTTTTGCTGTCGCACGGATAGGCCGGCTCGAACCGGGGTGGTATCACGACCTCACAGAATACCAGCGTGAAGTAGAGGTTTACCTCTGCGTTTCGTTTGGTGAGTGCAGGTGGCCGGAGGCCCTTTTTACTGGAAATGAGGCATTCCATCTTAGTCCTCACGGGTGAAAACGCGTCTGCATTTTGATTCGCAAACGAGGATAGATGTAGATGTCTATGGGCCGCAGCAACCACTTACCATCAGGTGGACTGTGTGCTCGTTTGTCACCCTTATCCTATAAAAAAAAATTAGCAAAGTCAAAAATTTTTTCTACCCCCTAGTAAGCTGTCATGTCAGGGAATCAGATTGTTTAACAGAAAGGCCTACGTACCTATTTTACCTAATAATTGTCTACTTTAATAGTTTTTGTATTTTTCATTCATAAATGTTTGCTACCTCAATACAAGGATGTCATTATACTCTATACTGGCTTCAAAAAATGTCAAGTTGGAAAAAAAAAATATGTTGTCAATTTCAAATCTTCTAATCGATATCCTACAAATGTTTCGAGTTATTTTCCAACATTTCTTGCAAAATAACGATGCTTTCTAACTCGGAATATTACGATAATGATGTTATGCGTAGCCCATGAAGATAGCAATTTAAATCCTGCTCGCGAACTGTATCGGCAACGATTTATCGATGGTAGACCCCCCACTGAACAGCGACGGCTGCCTTCGTACCAGTGTTTTGTGAACATTTCAAGACGACTACACTCCACCGGCTCTTTTCATCAGTCTACTGGAAGTGGACGTCTAAGCACAGTCGACGCAGGCAGGCTGAATTAGTGTTAGAGCATTTTGAAGAAGAGCTGACTACAAGTACGACGCGAGCCGGAACAAGATTCGGTATAAACCATGTTGCAGTTTGGCGAATTCTTCGTGACGACAATCGTCACCCTTATCACTATCGCCGTACACAGGAGCTGATACCCTCCGATTTTGCACCCAGGAGGAACTTCTGCGAGTTGTACCTCAGGCAGTTAGAGGAAAACCCTAATTACGTAAACTATGTTGTTTGAACGAACGAGGCAACATTCACGAGATCAGGACTTTCAAATATGCATAACGATCACGTTTGGGCTCGCGTGAATCCACATGCTTCACGGCAGGACAGATTCCAACACCAGTGGCGGCTGAATGTGTGGGCTGGCCTTTATGACGGGCATGTCATCGGTGCCGTAATTATGCCATCACGTCCCCGAACGGTAGCAACTATCTAACGTTTTTACAAACGGAATTCGAAGAGGTGATTGACGACTTTCCTGTGGCTGACTGGGATTACTCTGAGAACCAAAGAAACATGGTGTTTCAGCATGATGGAGCTCCGGCACATTTTGCTCGCAACGTACGAGAACATCTTAACGTTCACTTTCCGCGAGAGTGGATCGGCCGCAGGGACCGGTGCTATGGCCTGCTCGTTCTCCGGACCTCACAACCTTGGACTTTTTTGTGGGGTTATGTGAAGGACAGAGTGTATTTCTCCGATTGCCCAACAGTTGTCGAGATGGAAAAGCGTGTTAGATCGGGTTTTGCATCAATAACACCGACGATGGTGCGAATATGCCACACAAGCCATATCCCGACGAGTGAGGTTGTGTATTGAGCAAGGCGGAGCACACTTTGAGTCGTTTCTGTAAATTTGACGTTTATTATGAAAAAGTAAGTATTGGTTTAGGTTGTATCGTTAGGTTGGGTCTTTTAAAATTTTTGTCGTTCCGCGAATTAGGTAGAAATGTAGGTAGGTACATTCTGCGTAGTTTACTCTTTAATTTTACTGAAATAGGGTTTGAATATAATAATATTTTTTTATTTTTTTGGGGTATGTTATACAGCGTTACTACGGTTCTTAAATATTGTGAATGGACTCGTTATAAGGCCCCATTTAACCTCCTTTCGGCTTTACGGGTAGTTTTGTAACAGCCGGTATAACGTAAATCGAAGTTATTTTGAAGTAGAGGTTTTTGGAACTTTTCGTAGAAGGCTTTCGCGAACGCAAACGAAAACGTCTTACATGCCAAAGATCAAGCTAATAATATTTTATTTACTGATTCGTAGCCGAAATTAACTCATATCATAAAAAAAATTGTTATGTAATTGTTACTTTTTATTATGATTTAATTGATCTAAAACAAATTTTCATTCTAAAGTTGATGTTTTCTTATTCTAATGTAAAGTCATTAAAAGAAATTGTATTAATTTCATTTACTTTGGTTGAATGACATATTTTTCATACGATATAACAAACAAAACAGCTTATCCATTCATTATAACCTATAAAAATACACAGCTGAATATAGGCCTCCCCATATATTGCTTCCATAGTTGCTGCACTTGGCAGGCAGGTTAAGAAACCGCAGTTATTTAAAAAAATTATACTTTATTTTTTTACTTTTTTTTTTATACTAATATCGGCTAATTTGAGGGAATCTGGTGTGGCGCGGCTTCGAAAGCTTAATCCTTCGGATTTGCGAAAAACGGGATAGCGTAAATCGGGGTATTACTGTAATTAACATAATATTTGGGCTAATTTTCAACATAGACTCTCAAACTTATATGTTTCCCGTACGGTCTATTAAAGTCCACTACTGAACATAGACCACCCCCATAGATTGCTTCATTGCCATAGTTGCCATGCTTGGCAAACGGTTTGGCAAGTTTTTATTTTTAGCCGTTATTAGGAAGACGCTGCTGCTCATTTCCAGATTTATATCCCTCTGTCGCCTCTTACGACATCCACGTGATGATATGGGGTAGTGGATGTACTTACGCCGCCACTACATGGATTAGACTAAGACTAATTCAACTAAGAGCTAGTTAATAACTTATATGGTTAACCTAACACTAATAGAACACACGCACGACTGCCATGTTAGTGTTTGCAGCTGAAACAGCTTAGGTTTCAAATGTTAAAGCGATATCAAGCACGTGTTTTTTATTTAATCCTGTAATGTAGCGTGTTTAAAACTAATGACTCAAAATAAAACAATTTGTAACTGCTAAGCTCCGCTATTATGCAGAACCCTTTATTAGATGTACGATTAATGTACTCTAGTTAATTTTGCCAACGTCGTGAAGCGAAGACCTCGTTAACACGTATATATATATATTAAATACTTAGGTACTTACGTAGCAAGAGCAAAAAAATTTACGGATTTATTACCACAGAACGGACTAGCACCCAACTTATATCTAACTTTTAATTATAATATTAAATTTTTTGCCAGAAGTGATTTAGGCTATATGTAATCCGAAGAATTTGAAGATTATTTTTTGAAAAAAAAAACGAACGGAATATTGAAAAAATAAATGGTCTTTGATTGTCTTAAATCTAAATAACCTTTAACCTCACATTA